ATTCAGGAAGCCCTGAATTCTGTGCACTTGACACCTTGCTGTTCTCCAGTGTACACATGCAGGCTGGATTCCGTCCTAACACCAAGAAACACAAGTGCTTGCCCTGCTATTGACAGTTTTGTCACCAACACCATTGACCAGATGTGAAGGGTGTGCTACATGTTTCTTAGCAGCAAAATGACAGTGTTCTTGAAATGTTGCTTTCTCTTGTGGATGACTGAGGTCATTAGCTACATCCAGATCTCAACCTTTTGGGAAGTCTTTACTTTCCAAACTGCAGTCAAAATGCACTTTCTGTGGTTTGAAACACTAGAGTTGTCTTTTGAAGGAATTTTATTTAAGAAGAAGAAACACAGAGAGGGATTTCTTATTAAGATGCACATAGCAGCTGACTGCAGCTAGGATTGTACTCATACAGTGGGGGAGAACGTACGCACAAATGCTCATTTTAATGAGGGAGAAAGAGTGGGTGGAAGCAGATGACCTAGATGATTTTATGAATAAAAGATATAATCTGATGCAATGATTTCATTAATACACACATGGCACCAAATGAAAACAGAGCACAGCAGATGGCTATGAGAGGTGTTAAAAAGGCATTTTCACTTTAGTAGCTAATGACTTAGATTTCAAGGACTACACCAAATACTATCAGAAAGGAAACACTCATCATGTCAGTCTTCCAATGAAATTTATACCGCTTTATGAAAATAATGCTGAAAAGTCTCTTTTTAGTGACACTAGTTAGAAGATGCAGTCACAAAGCAGATATGGGGCAACACATTTCACAAAACCTTCTGAAAGAAAACGCTATTGTTTTCTGAGTAAAAGCTTGCAATTTTTAATTAAAAGCTCTTTCTTTTCTCCCAGTTTGCTACAATTGGTGGAAACCATGATTTGCAATATAATAATGAAATAGAGTTATTTGCCATGCATTTTTAGGAATCTAAAAATGACATTATTTGCTGCAATTGTGGATCCACTGCAAACAACTACAAAAGAAGATCGAGGAAGGTCGTTGGGATAGTATTAAAAATATATAGCTTTATTTTAAGATAAAATATTTGGAACAAATGTATGACTTTAAAAGGAGGTGGTACATGGGGAAGACTTGTGTAAGATCTGGATTCTGTTTTTACATCAGTAAGCCTCAGCATAGACAATGATGAAGCAGGGGAACGCTGTTGCTTCTCCCGCTGTCTGACAGCAGGTATGGCACTAGCCATGTGGCTTCTTTGTCCCACCCCAGTCAAGCCATCCACGTCCAGGCTGCAGGGGGTCTGACAGGAAAGCCAAATGTGTCAGCTCTGCTCCCAGTGTGATGCACTCTGTACTTGAGGAACGTACAGCCTGTGAGATTTGACTGTTTTCTGGACTCTTTACAAAACAAGATCAGGGCAAAAGGGCTGGGTTTCTTAGAGAGAATCTGGCCTACAGCTTCTTAGAGACAGATTAAGCTCAGTTTGGCATCAAACTGAGGACACGTACAGTCTCATTCTCCAGACCTAATCCAAGATCAGCTCAGCCTATATTATTTTATCATGAATTAATATTGTGGCAGTGTCATCCTTGAACACACAGACTCTGAAGTTTTCTTTTTGCAAAGCTTGTTTGAGCTCCTGTTAGGTACAGCAGAGTTTATACTGAATTTTGTCTGTAGAGCAATACTCATTCCCTTTGAATGCAAAGCAAAACAAACAAAGATACACTCTCCCACCCAAAAGCCAATGTGTGCAGCCTGCAGCTGAGTTTGTTTCCTTCGTATGCAACTGACAAAAAATATTGAAGAGGACAGGCCTGGCTCTGCTGCAAACTGGTATGGCTACTTCATTTGGAAATGGTTCTTTGTAAGCTGGGAGACATAAAGCTTTGATAATCCCGAATGCTTGTGAATGAAATGTGGGCATGGTGTTCTACTGTGAATACCATACACTGTGCAATATACACCCACAGCAATCTTGCCAGCCTGCTGCTCTCCAAATCCTGGCTTTACTGTAGGCTGAAGCATTCAGGGGAATGGTGTAAAACCTAAGATGAACCTTTAGAAGCTGAAAATCTTCTTATGTCTACAACTCTCTCTTGCCATCATGACTATACATAGTCTGAGCACTTTGCGATTTAGACAATTTGTCAGATAAGTTCACAGGTTGCTGTTCTACATGTAATGGATAATGGAAATGCAAATAATTATATTCTTCATATGCCTTTCCCTGTTGCACTAAGCGCTCGGAGAACATCATGCTGGTTCTTATTACTTCTATTTTGACAATAAGTCAGGGCTCAAATTAAGGACTGCAATTCATAGTTCCAGAAATTCTACATGCAAGTTTGAGATATATGAAACTCCTTTGAGTTTTCCAGTCACTTAAGACATATGATAGTATAAGGAAAGAGACTCTCATGCTGAAATTATTTTTTTTTGGCAATCTCACTAGGTGTGAAACTCATTAAATTTCTCTCAAGTCTAAGACCAAGTATTCTGCATGTGAATAGAGTTTGGTGGGGGTACGTGTGCATATGAGGTTACTGTTAAAAAAAGAGAGTTCACCTATTTTGGAATAAGCTGCAACTCCTGTAAAAGCAGGCCTGAAAGTATTTAACTTTAAACCATATTTAAATCAAAAGCAATTTTGTAACAGTGCTTACATGTTTGTAGCATTCATTTGTGATATTTGCCCCCCATGTCTCCACATCTGGGCCATCAGTAGTAAGTAGAACTCATCCCACACAGCAAACACTAACTGTTCATTAATAGGCTGGAGTTTGATATGATCAGAATTTAATTCCTTTTTATTTACTGGTCTTAAAAGCTCAGATAAGTGGGTTTTCTATCCCAGGGCTAGAGAACAGCTTTCCTTTGTAGAAATTCTTATATTTGTCTATGAACCAAAATCTCCTCTCTTCAGTAATTTCAATCATGGGCTTTCCATCTCTGTTTGGTTTGCTAAATAGGATTATCATCATTAGCTTCTTAGCATATTCCCTGCCCTCTCTCCTTCTACACATGTATTACTGATTTCTTTACAGCTTTGATTTAAATAATTTTCAGATTCATCTCCAAACAGATACTTTGAGCATCCATATGAGACACTCAGTAGTCAGGGTAGTTGAATAGATACTACAGTCCTCTTAAAAAATAAACAAAACAAAACAAAACAAAACCACCACAGGGAAAAAACAAATGCAGGAATTGTGAGAATCAGCTTTCAAGAAGAATGTAGTCAGATTTTAAGGAAAAACAGTGATTATTCAGTCTTTCCAGTAATTCCCAACAGTGTGGGAAGGCAACAATCCAGATTATTGAATGCTTCTTCACAGACTCTTGATTGGGAGAGAAGAAAAATCTACCAGTTTCTGTGCAAACAGAGGTATTCACAGATCTTCTCTTATTTGGTACTTTCCTAATTCAAAGATTTGGGGATCCAATCAAGGAACTGACCCAATATCTTGTGAATCACAGACCATCTGCACACTCCAAATGAAAAAACAAGAAACCTTGGGGTGTCTAAAACACACAGATGTCCTATGTACAGATGAAGCTTGTTCCTATCTATTCAGAAAACACTTAATATCATTAATACAAGACAGAATTGGTTCATGAGAGATGCAAATAAAGCAAAGGACTACACTGTTTACAGTGGCCTAAGCAGTTCTGAGAAGGGACTGATTTTACTGAGTTTGGCAGTAGCAGCATTATGATCAGATTGATGAGAAATTTTATGTTGCTATTTAATTAGATTAATTGAGCAAAAAGAGTAGCAGATATGAAGCTATACTAGATCTTTATGGGAATATACAGAACACAATTTTCGCTTCTCCACCAGAGAACAGTCAATTCTAATTGGTGCCACTGTTTTATGTGGAATTGTTTGGTGATGTCTCAGGTGCAGCCTCTAAGGGTATCTGTAAAATAAAAAAAATATTTTAAACACAATGTAGTAGTTCATGGGAATAAAATATGTGAACTGATTATAATGCAGGGATTTATTCAAGATACTTTATTCTTGTACTGTTTTGAGATGCTTTGTGTGAAGGTCTGCTGTCTTTCCTACCGTAAAACCAATCTCAGTATCAGAATTCTCTGAAATGGCTATATATATGTTCCCTTTCACCTTAGTGATTCATGTATTTGTAATCAGTGGAGAATAAAGACGCGGTTTTAAGTCTGGTATCTCCCAAGGGTAAGCAGCATTAGCAAGGTAAGATGCCTGCTGTATGACACGCTGTTCCCTGCGGGGCAGGAGACACAGACGGGCTCTGGGCGGGAGGCAGAGGGAGGAATCTCCCCCAGCAGCCAGGCGGGCGCGGCCGGAGGGGTCCCCGCGGCAGAGTCGCGCCCCGCAGCAGCTTTTCAAACCGGCAGCCGAGGGGCAGCGCCCGTTCCGGTGCGGGGCCGCTCTCCCCGCCCGGTCCCGCCGGGCTGCGTGCCCCGTGTGCCGGCGGGGGGGGACCGGGTGCCCGGGCAGGGTGCTCCGGCGAGGAGGCTCCCGGTTGCGGAACGAACCCTGTGCCGGCTGGGGCGGCTCTTTCTCCGCCCTCCCTCCTCCTCCTCCTCCTCCTCTCCTCCTCCTGATTTTTTTTTTTTTCTAATTTAATTTATTGTATTGCATTTATTTATTTATATTCACCAGAATAATAAAAAATGAGAAAATCCGAGGGCTGCTTTTGGCCGCTCTCCACCAACCTGTCAGTGACGCAAGCGGAGACTACTTAAAGGCAGATTAGAGGCAGCAAGACATTAAAAGCCAACCTTCCTCCCTCCGCGCCGCGGGTCCGCCGCGCCGCACCGCGCCAGGAGCCGAGCGGGCCGGGCCGCTGGTGGCCACCGCGGGGCCCCGAGCCCAGCCCAGCCCAGCCCAGCACAGCCCAGCACAGCCCAGTCCAGTCAACAGCCAAGCCAGGAATCCTCGGCAGAGCTGCTGCTGCCTCCAGCCGCCTTCCCGCCACCGGACTGCGGGCGGTAGAGAAGGGGCGGCTCTTCTGTTTGTTTTTCCTCCCCCAAAAAAAAGGAAGGAAGAAGTGAAGAGATCCCCTCCGCTTGCCAAAGTCTTTGTCTCCGGATGAACAGCGATGGGGGAATGGACTATTCTAGAGAGGCTACTGGAAGCTGCCGTGCAGCAGCACTCTACTATGATAGGGAGGTAAGGGCTGCGGGGGAGGCTTCGGGGGGGGTTTCCCTTCCGTCCGAGCGGGCCGGCGGCACACGCCGGGTCCTGGCCGTGCGGGGCACCTTTGGCGCGGGGCTCTTGCGGTGTGTGCCCTGAGGGCGTGTGTGTGTGTGTGTGTGCGCGGCACAGGTCACCGAGGCGCGGGGACGCCGCAAACCGCCGCCGTCCTTGTCCCCGAGGACCCACGGGCGGCCATCAGGGAGACCCCGGCGCCATCGGGGTCCCGCAGCCGGAGCAGCCCCGTGGGGCGCGCTTCCCGAGCCACCGCTTTTTCTCCAAAGGGGAGGTCGGGGCGCGGGGAAGGGGGGCGGTGGGGGAGGAAGAGGAGGGGAGCGCTGGCCGCCGCCCGAGATTTGGTTTTTTGAGAGCGGAGGGTTGGCGCGGCCGCGCATGTGGGCGCCGAGGCGATGCCGCGCGGGCTGCGCGCCTCCTGCGCGGGTGCGGGGCGGCGCGGGGGCCCGGTCAGCACTGGACAGCTCCCGGCGGCGCGGCGGCGGCGCGCACTGACGGGCTTCTCTGTTCCAGGATCCTGCTGACCGTGGTGGTGATCTTCAGGATCCTCATCGTGGCCATTGTAGGGGAGACGGTGTACGATGACGAGCAGACCATGTTTGTGTGTAACACGCTGCAGCCAGGCTGCAACCAGGCTTGTTACGACCAGGCTTTCCCTATTTCTCACATAAGGTACTGGGTGTTCCAGATCATCATGGTGTGCACCCCCAGCCTTTGCTTCATAACTTACTCCGTTCACCAGTCTGCTAAGCAGAGGGAACGGAGGTACTCCACTGTCTTCCTCACCTTGGAGAGGGACCAGGATTCGATGAAGCGTGAGGACAGTAAGAAAATCAAGAACACGATTGTCAATGGGGTGCTGCAGAACACTGAGAACTCCACCAAAGAGGCAGAACCAGACTGCTTAGAAGTGAAGGAAATCCCCAATCCTGCTATCAGAACTACAAAGTCAAAGATGAGGAGGCAAGAAGGCATTTCTCGATTTTATATCATCCAAGTGGTCTTTCGAAATGCCCTAGAGATTGGATTCTTAGTGGGACAGTATTTTCTGTATGGATTCAATGTCCCTTCCATGTACGAATGTGACAGATACCCTTGCATTAAAGAAGTAGAGTGCTATGTCTCTAGACCCACTGAGAAGACTGTATTCCTGGTATTCATGTTTGCTGTCAGTGGGATTTGTGTGGTGCTCAATTTGGCAGAACTGAACCACTTGGGCTGGAGAAAGATCAAAATGGCAGTGAGAGGAGTACAGGCAAAAAGGAAATCCATATACGAAATCAGAAATAAGGACCTGCCAAGAATGAGCATGCCTAACTTTGGCAGGACTCAGTCAAGTGACTCAGCTTATGTGTGAGGCTGTGACAGAACTGAAACACTGTGCCAGGTGGAACAGACCCAGATACCATTAGAGAAAGGTACATTGCTTAGGCAAGCATTTTATCAAACCACCAAGAAAGCCATTAAGGTATTGGATCTGCACTTACCGAACTAGCTGCAAAATGCAGTGCTATGTAAAAGACTGAAAAACCAGCTATAAAACCATGCTTGATCTAGCCTTACAGCACAGCTACTATTATTCCTACTTTTCTTTCTAATGATTGGGTGTTATCTGTCGGTGGAGCGGCTTTTTGGTCGTCGTTAGGATAAGTTTACAGTTTGGACTGTCTGACTAATTGTTGTAAATGTGTAGAATGTTCATATTAAAAACCTGCAAGGATACTCTATATGGGGTGGGATGGGGTGGGGGAAACTGTTGCAATGTGCAGATGTAAGCATGTTTTAAAAGGAGGGTAATTGCACCGTAAGGAACTTGACCACAGCTCAATCAGCATATCTGCGTTCACCTATCTCACAGATGTCTTATATTATTTTGCTTGTCTAAGTCACAGAGTTTATTCCTGGTGTGTATTACTAGCTATTTTCTATCATAGCTTGTGCATCAATTAGTTATGCTAAACAATAAATGCTGAATATGATTTTGCCATTTTTTTGTTTGCCTGTACACACACACACCAGAGACCTTAATCATCTTACATTAGTTGTGATCCACAAAATATATCAGTAAATTTCAGTTCGTTCCCTAATACATGCATGAATAAGACGGAGTTGGTTCATGCCAGCCAAGTTATGTATTTACCTACAATCACCTAATGATGACACACAAACCAAAGGAACAGAGTTCATTGCTTTTAACTGTGAATATATCACCTTCTCTCTGCTCTTATTTATATAAGTGCCATACTTGAAACATCTAACTCTGTACGTAGTCAAAAGGTTGTCTTGGGATACCAGCTGGAATAAAGTGATTTTATACTCTCCTTTGTTTATTTTATGCTATTTGTTTAGTCATTGCAATGGTGTAAAAAGCAGCTAAAATCTCTATTGATAAATAAAGAACTTGCCTTTTTTTTGTAAGCCAGAGAGATTTGTTCTTCTTTATTATTGTATACAATTGTAGAAATGTACAGGGTCAAAATAATTGACTTACAACAATGATTCTGCAGGGTTTAAAGTGCCTTGTTGATATTCTAAACTCTAAGTTTAGAATATCAACAAAACCTGGGAAATCAGGACTATTCGTTCTGTCTGTTTTCCTCCTCAAGCAAGCTTTCTCTGCCTGATCCAAAGCCCACTGACACCAACAGCCTTCTTTCTGCTGACACTAAGGGCAACACAGTTGGCCGCCAAGGTCACTCTGAGAACAGCCAGAGTACATTTACCTATAAATGAAACAATTGCAGCTTTTCATCAGGGAATCCAAACAGTAACCTCAGCTTTTCTGCCGTACAGCTGGTTCAAAAGATACACTGTTCGTGTCCCATCAACTTACTGGGAAGCCACCGGGGCAGTCACAAATCTTTGTTAACAGCAATCTCATTTTATTATAGGATACTAAGCTTTACATAAGGACCTTTTTTTTTTTTTATCCCCACTGAATTGAACAGAAAATATCCCACTGGCAGCAGTCGGAGTTGGATCAGGACTAAAAACCCTACAAGTGCATTCCTAACTAAATAGTATCTGCCTTTTAAAGAAAAGGGACAAAATGGTGCTGGAAAATTTGGGGGTGCTTTATAACATAAGAAGACGACAGTGGCTCAGTCACAAATGGCCTTTTGATTGTAATTTATTTCAAGCCTGAAAATGGATTTCTGCTGTATTTTGGCTTGGAAATAATGCATATAAATCTTTTCCTCTTGGCTTACAGTAAATACCTTAATGTTTCATTCTTGTGGTTTGCCAGCATTGTCACTTAAAAATATGTCGATTAATTCTTGGATAGTGTATTCATTATCACTTTCATCTGTGGTCTTTTTTCCTTCCACTGTCAGACGTTAAAAACACTTTGAGATTTGTCATGTTTTTAAGGATTTCAAAATATTTTTACCTATGTGTAAAATGAACAGTTTTTCCAATTTGATTATAGAAACCTATAAAGATGGATTTCTCAAATGATTCTCTGCAATATAAATGCACACTGATATTGCTAGTTGACTGCATGCTCACTGGAAAACTGCATGTTATTTTTAGAAGGACAACATGGCAGCTAAAATATCCATCTGCAATATAACAAGCTTCTGAAGATTATTATCTGACACACAAATCCAAGTCTGATTTTCATTTTGCACAGTCCTGGGATGGTTTTCAAAATCTCCTTTTCAGTAGATGCTGAAGGGAAAAATGTTGCTTGACAGTCACAAGCATTGTTTTAATGTTGAAGAAATGGGAGCTTGTGTGCAAAGGGCTTGATCCGGTGCCAATTAAAGTTGAAGGAAAAAACTCATACTGAATTCACTGGGCTTTGGTTCAGGTTCAGCATAATTTCCTACTAGGCAGAAGCCCTAATGCAAGTTATTTCCAGTGGCTGCATAGCAGTGTTTAGTTAAATTCTAGTGAAGGTGCATATCTTCAAAGCTGTAAGGTTTTAATACCTTAAAATCCTTTAGGTAAGAGCAAGAAAGGATCTGTTTGTAATAGCCAGTGACAGTGACTCGGGTCCTTCAATTATTTTATGCAGTTGCACATTTTGTACTCCAGTAAGTTGGAATTCTTCAGAACTTTCCTAAGAGAAATGTATAAGGAAATGCAAATGTTAATTTATGCAACAGGATCAGTGATAAAGTAGACAAAGACTCGCATTTTGATCAACATAAATGCCGTCCTCCATATTTACACTAAATAGAATATGGTCTTTCATATTTCAGAAGAAAAATGAAATGGTGTCAAGAGATCAGTTTTTCTTATCTTCCTTTTCTATTGTTATTTTTCATTTCTTACCAACTACGTATTTGTCATGGACAAGAGAAATATTGCAAACACTTTCTTTTGTCATTGTGTCATGTGAGAGTCATATGATTAATGCTAATGGACTGTTTGCATGAAAGCTGACTATTCATTTACAAAATAAATGCTTTTAAATTGTCACAGCAATGGAAAAGTGTGTTAACTGAAAAGAACTGAGTGAACATAAAGCTGAAGGGCACATTACTGGCCACTTAGGTCTTGCTCCTGCCTCAGGGAAATTAATTAGTCTTGCCATTGACATCTATGGAAGAATCAGACATTAAAAATGAAAATTGTTTTATTCATTGTATACACTGTTTTGTATTAGTGGACAATATTGTATGTCATCATATGTGCAAACATAAAATTGTGTTCACTAAGCTCTTAACAGAAAACTGCAATAGAATTGAATACACTTATGGTTCCATGGAATTTTAAAATTTACATAAAATAATGATATCATTTCATTCTTATATAGGCTTGATCTTGTGCTTCTCAAACCTGTGTGAATTTCAAAAGCAACTTACATAGGGGTTTTGAACCATTTTACCATTGCAATGAGATTCTATACAAAGATTTTTGAAAAATTAGGACTTTTTAAAAATAATGATAACTAGCTACATTTTCACACGGGGAAGGTGAATCGACTCCTCCTATAAATAGTTCGGTTTTAGACACCATTGACTGAAAAAATAGAAGAGTTTTCATTTTTCCTAAGGAAAATCTGAAGAACGAACAGAACAGCTGAGATGAATGAATCACGGAAGTGATGAGATTGATTTTAGTTTGTTTTACACTAGTGAAGGCAGAAACACTCAGAAACTCTAAAGCCAGCTCAGTGCTTGTCCTGCATTATATCTAATAGGGTAGGACATAGCTGCTGCTGTTTAGAACCTTAGGAAAAGTGAAGGTTAAACATGGGGAAGAATTCTTTTCATCCACATCTAGAAGAACGCTTACATTTCTTGTAGGGCAAGAGGATGGATCAGATGGACATTGTCCCTGCATCCTTCTGGCTTTATTTTGTTTGAATATAAATGTTCTGCCTTACTCATTCAGTGAAACAAATTAGAGGATTTTGTTTGGTGTACAAGTATAGAAATGGGAATTAAAAAATGCAGATGTATGAAGTAGAGAACCGGCATAAGTTTTCTTCATTTAGGGTCTGGTCTTGTCTTCATGAAATCAACGATGAGAATGTTTTCCATGGGATCAAGTTGATCAAGTTTCCCTCAAACTCACTTACATTATTTCATGATATTTACAGGAGAGATTATGCTATTTCTGTGTTGCACATCCATCTCTGGTCATTTCAGGATAGTTTTCCCAGAAATGCTATTTTATTGTAAGCTTTCAGAAAACGTATTAGCTATCAGCTACTAACGCCAGATTCTAAACCCCACTGCCCTCTCAATGAAACTCTGATAATAGCTCCGTGAATAAAAATTGCACTAGGAAGTGCTTCATATTATGTCTCTTAAAATGTAGTAAAGAAGTCAATCAGGAGTCAGCAGCCCATGAAATAAGTGCAGATACGAAGCATTTCCTAGCACTGCATTAATAATAAACCCCACACATACATGTGTGTATATATATATACACCTAAATATAGGTAGGATTTTTAAAAGAATTTTATCTAAATTATTTGACTGTGTTACAGATTGAATTTCAGAGATAGACACAGAAGAAGTCACATATCTGAAGAGACAGTTTAAAACTGTGCAAGTAATGCACAGGTATTCTTACAAACATGTGCAATGACCTGACTGGAAATTTCACATGCAAAAAACCCCAACAATCACCATTTTCCTGTTAAATTCTGGGGCTATGGGCTATACTAATTGCTTTAGCAAGTTTAACTGAGCAGTTGTATATCTAAGTTACAGCTAAAAAGATAATTGGCTTCATTGCATTAAAATCTATCAGCTTTTTCCTAGTGGTGACTGAAACACGGGATGAATCAGATCTCTAGCTTGAGGAAAATCACGTATACAGTGACTCTCTGATGTCCCCTCAAAGTGAGAATCTCTCCTGTACTTAACAGAATGTGAAAGTAAGGTAATTTTCTACTAACCTACCTCTTTTTCTGTATGTGATGTGGCTAGAAAGGACAGAGAAAGGTTACCAGTACCTGGAGAATAATTAATACATCCTAAAGTGATTAAGCAATTCTGGAATTTTAGTTTCTTTCACAGAAAACAGCATTTGCTGCATATGATTTTTCTCTACATACATTTCACGGTACATAATTAAATGTAACTTTGATTTTTGAAATGTATTCATGATCAATGTTTTCATATTTTTTTTTCTAGAAAAAGGTCAAAAGATTGATGGTTGAAATTGACTCTGTCCCTATTTTTTAAAAAGTGCTATTTATAGCTAATCCTATATTTTCAATCTGTTAACAAAACCTTTTTTTTTTGAGGAACGCTAAAGTAAA